AGGCCAGGAAGTGAGTTGGAAGATTTGGAAGAGTTAAAGGAGACAAATTTGTCTGTCAATCAGTTTGTCATCCTGTGGTGGCTTGCATTTTGCTATTAGGCTGGAGGCCATGCCACTGGTCTTGCAAATGCCAACAGGGTTACCCATGGTAGACAGGTTTCAGTGGAGCTTCCAGACTAAGATAGACTTGGAAGAAGAAAGAGGCCATCCACTTCTCAAAGAATTGACCAGTGGAAACCTTATGAATGGCAGTGAAACACTGTCTGATATATTATAGAAAACTTTATGAATAGCCCTGACACATTGTCCAACAGAGATGGCAGATGAGCCCCTCAGGTTGGAAGTCACTCAAAATATGACCAGGGAAGAGCTGCTTCCTCAGAGTAGAGCCGACCTTAATGATATGGATGGAGTAAAGCTTTTGGGACCTCCATTTGCTGATGTGGCATGACTCAAAGTGAGAAAAAACAGCTGCAGACATCCATTAATAATCAGAACATGGAATGTATGAAGTATGAATCTAGGAAAATTGGAAGTTGTCAAAAATGAAATGGAATGGGTAAAGATTGATATCCTAGGCATTAGTGAGCTGAAATGGACTGGTTTTGGTCATTTTGAATCAGACAGTCACATGTTCTGTTATGCTGGGAATGACAAATTGAATAGGAATGGTGTGGCATTCAGCATCACAAAGAATGTTTCAAGATCTGTCCTGAAGTACAGTGCTGTCAGTGATAGGTTAATATCCATACACGTACAAGGAACACCGTTTAATACTACTATTACTCAAATTTACTGACCAGCCACCAAAGCCAAAGATGAGGAAATTGAAGATTTTCACCAACTTCTGCAGTCTGAAATTGACCAAATATGCAATCAAGATGTGTTGCTTATCACTGGTGACTGGAATGCAAAAGTTGGAAACAAAGAAGAATCACCAGTAGTTGGAATATATGGCCTTAGTGATAGAAATATTACTGACGAATGCATGATAGAATTTTTTGCAAGACCAATGCCCTTTTCATTGCAAATACCTTTTTTCAACAACACATTTGGGGGCTACACATGTGGACTTCACCAGAGGGAGTACAGTACACAGGAATCATATTGACTACTTCTGTGGCAAGAGGTGATAGAGAAGCTCAGTACCTTCAAGCCAAAACAAGGCCAAGAGCTGATTGTGGAACAGACTATCAGTTGCTTATATGCAAGTTGAAGTTGAAGATGATTAAAACAAGTCCACAAGAACCAAAATATGACCTTGATTATATTCCCCCTGAATTTAGAGACCATTTAAAGAATAGATTTGATGCATTGAACAGAAATGCCCAAAAACCAGAGGAATTATAGGATGACATCAAGAACATCATACATGAAGAAAGCAAGAGGTCATGAAAAAGACAGGAAAGGAAGAAAAGACCAAAATAGATGTCAGAAGAGACTCTTAAACTTGCTCTTGAATGGAGAGTAGCTAAAGCAAATGGAAGAATAGACAGGATAAAAGAGCTGAACAGAAGATTTAAAAGAGCAGCTCGAGAAGGCAAAGCCAATTATTATAATGAAATGTACAAAGATCTAGAGTTAGAAAACCAAAAGGGAAGAACCCTCTTGGCATTTCTCAAGCTGAAAGAACCAAGGAAAAAATTTAAACTTCGAGTTGCAATATTGAATGATTCTATGGGCAATATGTTGAATGATGCAGGAAACAGCAAAAGAAGAGAGAAGGTTATACAGACTCTGTATATTGAATTAGTCAGTGTTCATCCATTTCAGGAGGTGGCATGTAATCAAGAACCAATGGTAGAGGAAGAAATCGAGGCTACACTGAAGGAATTGGTGAAAAACAAGGCTCCAGAAGTTGACAGAATACCCATTGAGATGTTTCAGCAAATGGATGCCATGCTGGAGGCACTCACTTGGCTATGCCAAGAGATTTGGAAGATAACTACATGGCTGACTTACTGGAAGAGATCCATATTTGTACCTATTCCAAAAAAAGGTGATCCCACAGAATGTGAAAATTATCAAACAGTATTATTAATATTGCATGCAAGTAAAATCTTACTGAAGATAATTAAAAAATGGTTGCAGCAGTATATTGACACAGAACTTCCAGAAATACAAGCTGGATTCAGAAGAGGATGTGGAACAAGGGATATCATTGCTGATGTCAGATGGATCTTAGCTGAAAGCAAGGAATACCACAAAGATATTTACTTATGTTTTCTTGACTATGCAAAAGCATTCGATTGTGTGGATCATAACAAATTATGGATAATACTGAGAAGAATGGGAATTCCAGAACACTTAATTGTACTCATGAAGAATCTGTACAGACATCAGGAGGCTATCATTCGAACAGAACAAGGGGATACTGCATGGTTTAAGATCAAGAAGGGAGTGTGGCAGGGTTGTATCCTTTCACCATACTTATTCAATCTGTGGGAGCTCTGGTGGCGTAGTGCCTAAGGCATTTCCTTGCTAACCAGAAGACTGGCAATTCAAACCCACCAGCCACTCCTCAGAATGAAGTTTTGCCAAGCTACTTCCATAGTGATACCACCTCGGAAACCTAAGGAGGGGTTGCTATGAGTCAGATCTGACTTGACGGCAGTGAGTTACTCATTCTGTATGCTGAGTAAATAATCTGAGAAGCTGGATTATATGAAGAAGAACATGGCATCAAGATTGGAGGAAGACTCAACAACCTGTGATATGCTGATGACACAACTTTGCTTGCTGAAAGTGAAGATGACTTGAAGCACTTACTGATGAAGATTGACGACTAGTCTGCAATATGGATTACATCTCTGGTAGTGTAGTGGCCAAGGCACTTGACTGCTAACCAGAAGGCTGACGACGGTTCAAACCCACCAGCCACTCCTCGGAAGGAAGGTTGGGCAATCCTCCTTCTGTAGTGATACTGCCTCGGAAACCCAAGGAGGGGTCGCTATGAGTTGGGGCCGACTCGACGGCAAATAACAACAACAACAACAGCATAAAGAGAATGAAAATCCATACAACTGGACCACTAAACAGCAGCATGATAAATGGAGAAAAGATTGAAGTTATTAAAGACTTCGTATGACTTGGTTCTACAATTAATACCGATGGAAGCAGCAGTCAAGACATCAGATGACGTATTGCATTAAGTCAATCTAACACAAAAGGCCTCTTTCAAGTGCTGAAGAGCAAAGATGTCTCCTTGAAGACTAAGGTGTGCCTCATCCAAGCTCTGGTATTTCCAGTCACCTTTTATGCATGTGAGAGCTGGACAATGAATAAGGAAGACCGAAGAAGAGTTGATGCTTTTGAGTTGTGGTGCTGACGAAGAATACTGAGAGTACTATGGACTGCCAAAACAAATATGTCCTGGAGGAAGTACAGCCAGAGTGCTCCATTTCATCTACTGTGGTCCTGTTGTCAGAAGGAACCATTTCCTGGAGAAGGATATCATGCTTGGTAAAGTGGAAGGTCAATGAAAAAGGGGAAGGCCCTCAAGAAAATGGGTTGACACAGTGGGTGCAATGACGGGCCCAGGTATAGCAGGGATTGTGAGGCTGGCATCAGACTGGGTAGTGTTTTTTTCTGTTGTACATAGGGTCGCAATGAGCCGGACGTAACTCGACAATACCTAATAACAAGAACAACAACATTGAGTAGCTTTGAGAAAGTAGGCTGATAGAGTTGGAAAAGGAAAAAAAAAAAACCAAATGCACTGCCATAGAGTCCAGTCTGACTCATAGCGACCCCTCCTTGGGTTTCTGAGGCAGTATCACTGTGGAAGTAGATTGTCCAACCTTCCTTCCGAGGAATGGCTGGTGGGTTTGAACTGCCAGGCATCTGGTTAGCAGTTAAGTGCCTTAGGCACTATGCTACCGGAGTGCTTATTACCAGAAAAAAGACTTTATCTTTACATAAGGAGCTCTGGTGGCACAGTGCCTAAGGCATTTGACAGCTAACTAGAAGGCTGGCAGTTCAAAGCCACCAGTTCAAACCCACTCCTCAGAAGGAAGACTAGGCAATCTATTTTCATAGAGATACCACCTCAGAAACCCAAGGAGAGGTTACTATGAGTGGGATTTGACTCCACAGCAGAGCCTGCTCACTTTTCACCACCTCCGCATGACCATTCCTTATCTTCACGATACTTTGTTCAAGCCACCATCATCTCTTTCTGGATTACTGCAGTGGCTTTCCAAGGATTCTTTGTGGTTCATTCCTTGCCCCCACTACTTCTATTATCACAATAGGAACTAGAATTTTAAAGTATAAATCAGTCCTGATCACTCTTTTGCTACAGACTTTTTCAATGGCTTCAGGTCTCACTCAAAGTAAAAACTGAAGTCTTTCAGTGACTTTCAAGAGACCATTAATGCCATCCTTTTGCTCCAATCTGTAAACTTTATCTTTCAACCTCTTTTCCTTCTACGTAGCCCTGCTCACTTCCCTCTAGAAATTCTGACCTCGTGTTCCTGGAACATGCTACATGTTTTTCTGCCTCAATGCATTTGTACTTGCTGATCTTTCTTTGTGGAATGCTCCTCCGTCAGATATGTGCATTACTTATTTTCTTTCTTTCTTTAAGTCTTTACTTAGATGTCACCTTCTCTTAAGGCTTTCCCGGATCACCTTATTTTAAATTGCCCGCCTCCTCTGCCTTTCCTATCCATCACTCATAATTTTTTTTTTTCAAAGCACCTGTGAATAGATTTTAATTATTTATTGTATTGTCTATTTCTCCTGTTGGAGCATATGCTCCATGAGGGCAGGGATTTTTTTGCTCTGTTTTGTTCAGTGCTGTAATGCAGTGTGTACACTAGCATTTGTTGAATGCATAAATGAGATATGTAATATTAGCTTGATAGAAGTGTCAGAGATCAGATGAGTGGCAAGTGTGTATGTGGAGGGGCAGAGGGGGAGAATTAGGATAAAATAAAAATATTTCTGAAAATATCACTTTGATAAAATTTAATACATATTCATTATGTTTTTCTCAGTTTACAATTCTGATGTAATTGATAAGCAGTGCTCTTCCATGGCCTCTGATAATCCAGACGACAAAGCTGTTATTATTCTAGTTCCTGTTAGACTTGGTGGAGAAAGAACCAATATCGACTACTTAGAGTTTGTAAAGGTATGAAGAGATCAATCTTTTTTCTAAAGGCAATACTATTTAATAGAAAAAAATAGACAGTTTGCAGTCTTTTTTCTGTTAAATGGATAGTGATGATCTTATAGTTGTAGATAATAAAGTTTGACATTGTTGTTGTTGTTGTTGTTTGCCGTCAAGTCGGCCCCGACTCATAGTGACCCCTCCTTGGGTTTCCGAGGCAGTATCACTACGGAAGTAGGATTGCCCAACCTTCCTTCCGAGGAGTGG